GGGGTTGTGGGGGTGGTGGTTGCTGGGTTGTGGGGGGTGGTGGATGGGGGGTTGTGGGGTGGTGGTTGCTGGGTTGTGGGGGTGGTGGATGGGGGGTGGTGGATGAGGGGTTGTGGGGGTGGTGGTTGCTGGGTTTGGTGGGGTGGTGGTTGTGGGGGTGGTGGATGGGGGGTTGTGGGGGTGGTGGTTGTGGGGGTGGTGGATGGGGGGTTGTGGGGGTGGTGGTTGCTGGGTTGTGGGGGTGGTGGTTGTGGGGGTGGTGGATGGGGGGTTGTGGGGGTGGTGGTTGCTGGGTTGTGGGGGTGGTGGTTGTGGGGGTGGTGGATGGGGGGTGGTGGTTGCTGGGTTGTGGGGGTGGTTGTGGGGGTGGTGGGTGCTGGGTTGTGGGGGGTTGTGGGGGTGGGGGTTGTGGGGGTGGTGGTTGCTGGGTTGTGGGGGTGGTGGTTGCTGGGTTGTGGGGGTGGTGGTGGTGGGGGGTGGTTGTGGGGGTGGTGGGTGCTGGGTTGTGAGGGTGGTGGTTGTGGGGGGGGTTGTGGGGGTGGTGGGTGATGGGTTGTGGGGGTGCTGGGTGTTGGGTTGTGGGGCTGGTGGTTGTGAGGGTGGTGGGTGCTGGGTTGTGGGGGTGGTGGGGGTTGTGGGGGTGCTGGGTTGTGGGTGGGGGTGCTGGTTGTGGGGGTGGTGGGGTTGTGGGGGGTGGTGGGGGTTGTGGGGGGGTGCTGGATTGTGGGGGTGGTGGGGGTGGTTGTACGGGTGGTGGGTTGTGGGGTGGTGGGTGTTTGGTTGTGGGGATGCTGGGTGTTTGGTTGTGGGGGTGCTGGGTGTTTGGTTGTGGGGGTGCTGGGTGTTTGGTTGTGGGGGTGGGGGTTGTGAGGGTGTGGTTGTGGGGAGGGTGGTTGTGGGGGATTTTTAAAGGAAGTAGTATCAGTGAGTGAAGGACACAAAGTAGCGTCACTGTCACTTGTCTCGTGGAAGAATGTTCTAATATACGGACAAATATTGTGGAAATATAACAATCTGAACGATGGTGTTATGAAGCTTCACTCGTGGCCGCCTCCAGCACCATCCTTCAGAAACCTGGCAGTTATACAGTAATAATTCCACAACATTAACCCATATAATACTACAAGTGTTGAAGATTGTACAAAAATACTTCAGAGACAGCCGCTTGAGCCAGTCATAAGATAAATCCTACTTCACTGTCTTTTCAGCGCTAGAACATGAGTATCCACTGGGTCTTTTCATTGATCTAAAAACCTTTAGACCTTGCAGACTACAAAATCTTACTGCTGGAACTCGTGGCACCCCTGTTTTTCATCGGGGGAAAATACTAAAGTAACCTGGTCTGAAAATCAATTTAAGATTCTTCTCAAAAACCACTTAATCACCCTAGACTAAATGCTCAATACTCAATATTCCCATAATGTAATTTCAATATTTACTTTTGAACCTATTGTCCATTGTCGACAGAAATATAATTGAATCATGTTTCACAAAAAACATTTTGGAATATATGAATATATCCTTTGGTTTATATAAATTAGATTCACTTATAATTAATAGATCTACTGTACAACTATGATAAATTTCTTTAGTGTTAAGTAGTCAGTAAGCCATTAAATTAAGTCGGCCCTTAATGTCTAGGCATAATAGAGGCTCTCTCTGCACTGCAACCCATTATTGTAAATACATAATCTCAATATACTACTTGCAAATAAATAAATAAATTTGAAATTTGAATTTGAACCATGTCACTAGTGACTTTGATCATGCATAATTTATTTTCGTCCTGACCTACATAATTTTTTATTTTTGGAATTTTGCTAGTATCTTCCTGCGTAAAAACTGAGAGGAAATAAGTCCTCCTCCCATGGGAGACTTAAGTCTCGAGACACTCCCCAGATAGGGAGCCAAGGCCCGGGTCACCACTACTTGGAAAAGACCCGGGCCGGGAGAATACCGGCGAAAAAAAAAAAAGTGTTGAAGATTGTACAAAAGTACTTCAGAGACAGCCGCTTGAGCCAGTCATAAGATAAATCCTACTTCACTGTCTTTTCAGCGCTAGAACATGAGTATCCACTGGGTCTTTTCATTGATCTAAAAACCTTTAGACCTTGCAGACTACAAAATCTTACTGCTGGAACTCGTGGCACCCCTGTTTTTCATCGGGGGAATGTTGCATCTCCTGCCGAGTCTTTTGCTTTCATAGGAATTGATTTTCGTGTGCAGGTTTGGTGCCAATCCCTCCAGGACCTTCCAAGTGTATATTATCATGTATCTCGCCTGCGTTCGAGGGAGTACAGATAGAGGACCTTCAACTGTTCCCAGTAGTTTAGGTGCCTTATCGTACTTGTGTGCCGTAAAAGTTCTTTGTACACTCTCCAGGTTCTGCAATGTCGCCAGCCTTGAAGGGGGGGCCGTTAGTGTACAGCAGTATTCCAGCCTAGAGAGGACAAAAGATTTGAAGAGAATCATCATGGGCTTGGCGTCCCTAGTTTTGAAGGTTCTCATTATCCATCCTATCATTTTCCTAGCAGATGAGATAGATACATTGTTGTGGTCTTTGAAGACGAGATCCTCTGACATTATCACTCCCAGGTCCTTCACATTACTTTTCTGCTCTATTGTATGGTTAGAATTTGTCGTATACCCTGATACATTTTTAGTTTCTTCAAATTTCCCATATCTGAGTAGTTGAAATTTCTCCTCGTTGAACTTCATATTGTTTTGAGTGGCCCATCCGAAGATTTGGTTGATGTCCGCTTGGAGTGTCGCGGTGTCTTCGATGGAGGTCACTGTCATGGTAATCCGGGTGTCATCCACAAAGGAAGACACCCATAGACTATGTCAGAAATGAGGATGAGGAATAGAATGGGAGCGAGTACTGTGCCTTGTGGAACAGAGCTTTTTACCATGGCTGCCTGGGACTTTACTCTGTTTACTATTACTCTTTGTGTTCCATTTGTCAGGAAATTATAGATCCATCTACCAACTTTTCCCGTTATTCCTTTATCACGCATTTTGTGTGCTATTACACCATGGTCACACTTGTCGAAAACTTTTGCGAAGTCTGTGTATACTACATCTGTATTTTGTTTATCTTTTTCGCATTCAGTGACTGAGGTCTACATTTTTAGGTTTATATGTATTATGGCTATTCACAAATAACCCATACGACGTTTCGGTCCGACTTGGACCATTTACAAAGTCACAGGAGGACCAAGTCGGACCGAAACGTCGTCGTAAACTCCTCTCTTCTATGTGCGGGTTATTTGTGTATTCCAGTCACGATATTGTGTTTTTTTTTTTTTTTGTTATTATGGCTATTCCCTTTTTCCTAGGTTTAGAACATCACATTGTTTACATTAAACTGCATCTGCCACTTCTTCAACCGCTGCATCAACTTATCCAGATCTTCCTGTAGCACTCTAGTGTCCTCATCAAAAATAATCCAACGTCCTGTTTTAGTGCCATCGGCGGACTTGCTTATGTGACTATATATTCCCTAATCCATGTCCTTTATGTATATTGTGAACAAAGGGCCCAACACTGATCCTTGCGGTGCTTGTGATGCGTCATCGCTCTTTCTCCCTAATTATGTAAACCGGTTTCCTATCCGTCAACTATGGTTCTGCCCAGGAAAATTTCCAGAAAATACTAAAGTAACCTGGTCTGAAAATCAATTTAAGATTCTTCTCAAAAACCACTTAATCACCCTAGACTAAATGCTCAATACTCAATATTCCCATAACGTAATTTCAATATTTACTTTTGAACCTATTGTCCATTGTCGACAGAAATATAATTGAATCATGTTTCACAAAAAACATTTTGGAATATATGAATATATCCTTTGGTTTATATAAATTAGATTCACTTATAATTAATAGATCTACTGTACAACTATGATAAATTTCTTTAGTGTTAAGTAGTCAGTAAGCCATTAAATTAAGTCGGCCCTTAATGTCTAGGCATAATAGAGGCTCTCTCTGCACTGCAACCCATTATTGTAAATACATAATCTCAATATACTACTTGCAAATAAATAAATAAATTTGAAATTTGAATTTGAACCATGTCACTAGTGACTTTGATCATGCATAATTTATTTTCGTCCTGACCTACATAATTTTTTATTTTTGGAATTTTGCTAGTATCTTCCTGCGTAAAAACTGAGAGGAAATAAGTCCTCCTCCCATGGGAGACTTAAGTCTCGAGACACTCCCCAGATAGGGAGCCAAGGCCGGGTCACCACTACTTGGAAAAGACCCGGGCCGGGAGAATACCGGCGAAAAAAAAAGTGTTGAAGATTGTACAAATTTTTTTGTCACTGACAGTGAGCTGTCCTTAGCAACTTTTAAGTGGGCCCATATTGTCCCTAATTTTACTCCTATATGCCTTAAAGAAACCTTTGGGGTTGGTCTTCGATTACCTTGCCACTTTAATTTCATAATATCTTGGCTTTTCTTACTCCTTTTCTTATTTATCTCTAATTGAATATATTGATCTCTTAAGTGTTCTCTTTAGTCATTTGATTCATCTGTAAATGTCTCTTTTTGACCTATGAGATGTTTATCTATTTAGGTAATTTTTGTTTGCTCTAATTTCCCTATTCGGAATGTAAGTTCTAATATAAGTCACTACCTACCTGACCCACAGAATAACCTGTCAGGTCACACCAGTTCACCCCACCCAGATAATCCCTCAGCCCCATGAAATCGGCTAAGCGAAAGTCATGGACAAAGGTGTCCGGTCTTCGCAGCTTTATTCCTAACTAAATTAGCAGAACCTAATATTAAGCCATTAATTTCACTCTAGAGATTGGTTCAAAACACTTCATTTGTTACGTCAAGTTCCTATAGTATAACTTTGTTTTTACTAATATTCATGTTCTAGTTATCAAAGTGTCTGCTTGCGTATGTACTGTGATAAAACTGTCATTGTTTTCGGTCAACACAACCGCTTACGAGAGAGTTAGTGTAACATATGTTAACTTTTCCCAGGATGCCGGGAGAAGCAGTGAAAGTGACGCTGGTGGTGTTGGTTGCAGCGACCTGTACCACACTGTGTGCTGCTCAGGCCAACACCTGCTTCCCCGGGGAGCAAAACACAAGATCCACAAGCATCACCCGCAGCGTAGAATCCTTCGGTCTGTCGCTCTTCACCTTTCTTGCTTCTAGCAGTCCTCAGCAGAGCATCTTTGTCTCCCCGTATAGCCTGTGGAGTGCTCTGGCTCTGGCATACTTTGGCGCTGAAGGCAACACAAAGAAGGAGCTGGAACAAGCGCTAGGCGTAAACTCCAAGACCGGCACCTTCTTTGGATACGGCGCCCTCAAGCTCCTGTGAGTATTAGCGGTGGCTGTTGCACCAATGATTGTGGTAGTTTGTGCGGCTGTGATTGTGGTAATCTGTGCCACTGATTGTTGAAGTGCGATGGTGATTGTTGAAGCTAGTGCGACAGTGATTATGGTAGGTGGTGTCAAAGTGACTGGCTCTTTCCATAGATATGGGGGCAAAAAAAAAAATAAACACAAGTTAAAACAAGGTCATTTGTGTGAATTTATGGCAACTTGCCAGTGATGAAAACTCAGGTAAAACAGAGAAATCATTAAGACGCAACACCAGGAATCTTCACTAACTAAACATTGCTCCTGCGCTGCAGACTTCATCAGTCGCATACAGAGATGAATCATACTCCCTGAGAAAGTCGTGGTGGACGACGAGGGGGAGAGGTAGTGTAATGTAATCAATCCATTACTGTAGTGTAGATAAATGGCTCAGAGATCCGACAGGATGATGAATGAGACTTGTGCAACACTTGGGTATCTTTACTGTTGTAACGTTTCGCCAACTAGGGGGTTCTTCAGTCTAATAGAGAAGACTGGTTTAAGATCAGAAGGAATTTGAGGTAATAAGTCCCTCAGCATGGAGTCGATGTGATCAGCCCATCACTCTTGATGGAGTGATTACCTCGCATTCCTTCTGATCTTCAACCATTCTTCTCTGTATTAGACTGAGGAAGCAATGGATAGCGAAACGTTTTCACAATAAAAATACCCAAGTGTTGCACAAGTGTCTGATTCGTCAGTCCATCACTTGGTGAAAGATGATCAAATCTTTTGGCCTAAGAGACTGATTTAATATGCATCATGGGTGATGGACTCGTTACATCATGTTACCTGTACATCGTCTGCCTCATCTCCTGGTGGAGTGGCATTTCATCTCTGTATTCGACAGATAAAGCCTGAAGCGCAGACGAAACGTTTCGTCAATAATTCCTATTGTTGCACAAGTTACTCATCAGTTTGTAACTCGTCAGCTGTTACTCATCAATTTGTCGATATTTTATACCGTTTATAATACGTAAAAACCATTATTTCTAGAGGTGCACATCTCTTTCACATGAACTATCTCAACTGAATCTAGATTATTATTATTATTATTATTATCAAAAAGAAGCGCTAAGCCACAAGGGCTGTACAGCAACTGAATCTAGAAAATTAGATATGCTCATATTTACATTAGAAAGAAGGGTGGTACATCAAGTGAAGTGACCAGTGCATGAAGCATGGAAAGACCAGTAGGCCTACTTCAGTGCTCCACTATTCGGGATTCTCTGGAAATTGAGCTGTACAAGAGAGTTACAGATATTTGTTGGTATTCCCTTGAGTACGATGCAGTTGTGGGGGCAAGGTTAAATTAGGAAATCTGCTCTGAGGAATAGTATCTTTAGTCATAATTAGAGCTGGTTTTAAGCAGGTGATGCTGGTGAAGTCCTCTTTAACAATGTTGACTCCAGCTTTTTTTCCCAATCCATAGGATGCTTGCTACTTTGCACCACATAAGTGTTGTTCGTTGTTGTTACTGCAGACGTACTTGAGTTAATTAACGATTTTTTAAATCTTCAGTTTCCTTTATATATTCTTATTTACAGCCTCTACAAGGGTGATGATATATACACGGGTGGAGTGCTGATCTCTGTTTAGCTTGTCGTGTGAAATCAGTTTTCGTGGTGACCATGATAGCTTATCTCATCTGTAAGATGGAGGCTAGAGCAAGGGTTGTACCCCTTTTCGCTGCGAGCAATCCTTTGGTGTCTTTTTCAGTTTTAGGGGTTTGATGGATGCTAGTGGCCTTCCGTCGCCAAGTCATGATTTTGATACGAAATCTTAATTTATTAGTCACATTAGTAACTAATGTAGTAGTAGCATTCTCACAGCACCATTAAAAGTTCTTGTTACTCAGTTTTAGTGTCATCTGCTCAGAAACGAAGGACCTAGGTTTAATCTCAGACCTATTGACGCAGAGGGGAGTCTACTGTACCTGTTGCACACATTATCTTTGCAGTAAATACGTTCGTGGAAGTTGCGGGGTCGCTTCCTGAGAGATGGTAGTATATTTTTAGATAGGACTGGGCTTGGAAATGAGAGGAGGTTGCACAGCTGCTTGTAAATTTACTGGTGTTAAAAAGTAATAAGCACCAATCTTGAAGATGTATCAGTATAATCGTGATGGGCGTAGTACAGTAGTAGCAATAAATGTATGTAACTCGGTAGCAGTTACACAATATGAAGTGCACATAAAAACATCCATTTATCAGTGATACTTGATTTACTGTCCATGGCAGATTGGAGACTAACCCCAGCGGCTCCCCAGGGACCAACTTCAGAAGTAGCAACAAGGCCTACTTCGCGAACTGGCTGGTATTGGACAGGTGCCTCTCCACTATCATAACTGATGGTCTGAAACAGGTTGACTTCAGGGATGCAGAATCAGCTCGGCAACTCATCAACCACGACGTCAACATCACCACTGAAGGCAGGATCCCCAACCTAATACAAGACCTGCCGCCATCCACACGGTTTGCTCTCATAAACGCTGTCTTCTTCAAGGGACTATGGGAGACGGCCTTCCAACCCAAGTTGACTCGCCGACAGGAGTTCCTGGTGCCACCTGGACAGTCTCCCGGGGTGGTAAAGATGATGGTGCAGGAGGGAACGTTCAAGCACGGTAAAACACAATATTTCAGTCTCAGACATGTGGTAATTTCATCCTATGTCCACAGAAACTCTGCCATTTACATTTAGAATATGCATAATTGACAAAGGATAAATTTCTCTAAATAAATAATATATATATATATATATATATATATATATATATATATATATATATATATATATATATAATATATATATATATATATATATATATATATATATATAATTATATATATATGTACAATATTAGCAAAAACTTTGCTCCCGGAAAAGATCGCACAGCTTCCTGATTCCTGAATGTTTTTTAACTGTTATTTAAACTCTATTCCTTAATCATCCGAAATTCAGGAGTAATATTAATGATTATATTTTTTTTTATATTAAGTAACACACCGGCTGTCTCCCACGGAGGTAGGGCGACACACTTTCACCATCACAGTCTTGCCAGAGATGCACCAATACCACAGTTCAGATACCCCCATCCTCTAAACTGCCATGTCCCCACCCCTAATTAAGAGTGTAGGCACTATACTCTTCACCTGTACGACTCATTCCGGACAACCGGTTTCCATAAACCCCTTCGTAAATGTTACCTTGCTCACATTTTAACAGCATGTCGAGTCTTACAAACTACTGGCCTCCACTCCAATCTTCCACACACACTCACACGCCTGTTGGATGTTCAAGTCCCTCTCAAACAAAATCTTTATCTCCTCCCTACACCCCATTCCCTCCACTACAGATTATACGATTATACACTCTCCAAGTCATCTTATTTTGCTCCATTTTCTAAATGTTCAAACCACCTCAATATCCCTTCTCAGCCCTCTGGATAATACTTTTGGTAACCCCGCACTTCCTCCTACTCTACAAACTACGAATTCTCTGTTTGATATTCACACCACATATTGCCCTTAGGCATGAAAATTAATATATATATATATATATATATATATATATATATATATATATATATATATATATATATATATATATATATATATATATATATAATTATTGTCGTGCCGAATATGTAAAACTGGTCAGTTAGCAAGAACTCATTTAAAATTAAGTCCTTTCTGACTTTTTCTCTTATATGTTTAAAGATAAAAAAATTTTCATTAATGTTAATGTAAAAATTTTTAATTTTGCAACAAAAGAATCTTAGAAAACTTGCCTAACCTTATTATAGCAAGAGCAATTTATTTTAGCCTAACCCAACTAAATATATTTTAGATTTGTTTACAATAATTTAATACTAAACAAACACAGAGAAATATATTTTTTTCATTAGGTTCAGAATGATTTTGGCTAAATTATTGCATAAACAAATTTTCGCTTGTCTTGTATGGCAAGATGAGCGTTGCTATTTAAGCCAAGATCGCAAGTTCTGCTTATTCGGCACGACATATATATATATATATATATATATATATATATATATATATATATATATATATATATATATATATATATATATATATAATAATATATATGCAAAACAACCACTCTGAAAGAATAGAGAAATTCCAAGCGCTTTCGTGACTACTCACATTATCAAGGAACTATGAAAGTGAAGCATCCAAGGAAGCTATATAAGGGGTCGGCCAGCACCTCACTATCAGATCCCACAACGGTTAAACACGTGACGCGCGGCGAGCCAACTTGGATAGGTCCTTTGCACAACTCACCCCCAAGCTATTCTACCCAAGAAAATTTAAAAATTATTTGTCCAGTGTATTATTAAATTCTTCCCAAATTCTATTAATTATAAATGGATCTAATTTATATAAACCAAAGGAAATATTCATATTATTGTCAAAACTGCTTTTTATGAAACAAGATTCAATTATATTCCTGTCGACCATGGACTTGCTTGATACTACTTTCTCAACTGTTTACTGTGATCTTATTGCATATATATATATATATATATATATATATATATATATATATTATATATTATATATATATATATATATATATATATATATATATATATATATATATATATATTAATTGTTTATAATTTATTAAATTATTATGCAGTCGCGAACAAGCGATACAAGATAACCATGGGAGGAGTTGAATGATAGCTCTAGGCTTTTTGTTGCAGTCAACACATCTTCAGGAGCTTGCAATGTTGCAGAAATGAGTAAGAAAGTTCAGGTAGATTCATTCAAGGGAACGACTCTACCTAGAATGAGATGACGTCTAGCAGACGAGTGCCAGGTGCCAGAAAGATGAAGGCAAGATATTATAACTAGCAGTAGGAAGCTTATAAAAGCCCATCAACATTCAGTAATGACCTATAGACCACAACATTAGCATCATCTCAGCTATCCCCAATATGCCGTCACACTCGTATCGTATCATTATGAAAGACTTCAGTATACTGATAATAATAATATCTTTATTTGTACATGTACAAGGTATACAGTCCTAGCTGACATCAATGACATACTACTATATAGAAAACCGCTTGTTATGCAGAGCATTTCGGGCAAATTAGGTCAGTTTCGTTCCAGGATGCGACCCACACCAGTCGACTAACACCCAGGTAACCATTTTACTGATGGGGAACATGGACAACCGGTGTAAAGAAACACGCCCAATGTTTCTACCCTCACCGGAAATCGAACCTGAACCCCTCTCCGTGTGAAGCGAGAGCTTTAGCCACCAGGCCACGTGTATCTCTCGTCTGTCAGTAGGAAAATTCCTTCTCGTAAGAGAAAAATGGGTCTATGGGAATCAGCAATAAACAATAAACAATCCTATTCCCGAGGTTTGGGCACTTCACCCTTGGGTAAATACTGGTTTATCCATAAGAGTGAGTGGGGGAGGTAAAACCTGAATGCTACTCGGCTAACCAGTGTCGATTTTACGTGTACTCATTATTTTTTTTTCAACAAACCGGCCGTATCCCACTAAGGCAGGGTGGCCCAAAAAGAAAAACGAAAGTTTCTCTTTTTAAATGTAGTAATTTATACAGGAGAAGGGTTACTAGGCCCTTGTTCCTGGCATTTTATAATAATTATAATAATAATATAATAATAATAGTTTTTCTTTGTAAAGGTTACAATGTGTAATTACAATTTTGATTTGTAAAGTACAAAGATAGCCACTATCATGCCGAGGCATTTTTTTTAGTCGCCTCTTAAAGCACGCATGGCTTACGGAGGAAGAATTCTGTTCCACACACCCATGGAGATAAAAGGAAATAAACAAGAACTAGAAAGAAAATAAAAGAAAATCCAGAGGGGTGTGTATATATATGCTTGTACATATATGTGTAGTATGACCTAAGTGTAAGTAGAAGTAGCAAGACGTACCTGAAATCTTGCATGTTTGAGACAGAAAAAAAGACACTAGCAATCCTACCATCATGTAAAACAATTACAGGCTTTCGTTTTACACTCACTTGGCAGGACGGTAGTACCTCCCTGGGTACTACCGGAAGTAGGTCCACCGGAAGTGGAACAGAATTCTTCCTCCGTAAGCCATGCGTGTCGTAAGAGGCGACTAAAATGCCGGGAGCAAGGGGCTAGTAACCCCTTCTGTATAAATTACTAAATTTGAAAGGAGAAACTTTCGTTTTTCCTTTTGGGCCACCCTGCCTCGGTGGGATATGGCTGGTACGTTGAAAGAAGAAAGATATTAATATTAATTATTAATATAATATATACATTAATATTAATATATATATACATTAATATTAATATAATATATACACGCATACCCATTTAAGAGGGTGGAAGGCCTCGGTCAGATGACCAATATCTCCGGTGGCTGGTCATCATATGACTAAGACCCGCATCAGGAAATACTTGTTCTATTTCCTGAAGTCTTGCCTGATCTAATCTTTGTGTCATTTCTCTATTCCCTCATTCTGTTATTAAAGAACACCGAATACTTTCATGGATTTCTTGAACATGTATTCACTTTAAACTGGAGCACGACGTGTATCGCGTATCGTTCTGTTATGCTTGTGGCATTGTTTAATGTGGGTCTGTGGTTAATTCACGTACAACTTAATGCTAGTCTTGTGGGCTTTCTTTTATAATTACTAAACACAGTATTTTGTATAATCTTTTATACAAGTAATAAAGAAAGTACACTGAAATGTTGCATTTGTGTATCAAAGTACAATATATATTTCTGGAAAAGATACAATATCTTGGGAGCGCATGCCAATAATTACTTCATTGCTCTTTTCAGTTCAGTTCACTCTCGTCTGTATCTCCATGTTATGGTCTTTTTTTTCCCCTCAAAAACTGTAATTGAATTTAATTACCCACAGGAGTATCTGAGAGCTTAGGAGCAGAGGTTCTCGAGCTCCCATACCTCAACTCTAATTTCTCCATGTTCCTGTTTGTGCCCACCGCGTTTAGCACAGAGTCCATTCTCAAGAACCTCACACCGCAGACCTTCATTGAAACTTACAAGCTCATGACCCCGAAGAAGGTTGAAGTCGGTCTGCCAAGGTTTAAAATGGAGACGAGGCTAGAGAAAGAACTCATTGCTGTAAGTAGACTTCAAAAATCTACATAGAAATCTGTAAATACATTGTATACGGGATAACGATAATGTTTGTAGTATCACGTTAATATTTGTATTAAGCTCTCTCTTTCTTTATCAACGTTTCAAGTATTTGCTGGTAGGTGAATAAGAGCGTCAAGAGCAGAACCAGTTATTGTCTCGCTTTACCCAGTGACCTAAATCCAGCCCATTAGGTTGTTAGTATGTGTTGTGCGTAGGGGACGGGTGTTATATGTGTACGCACCTAATTGTAGTTGCAGGGATCGATTCATAGCTCATGGCCCCGCCTCTTCATTGGTCGCTACTAGGTCCTCTCTCTCTCTCTCTCCCTGCTCCATGAGCTTTATCATACCTCATCTTAAAACTGTATGGATTCTGCCTCCACTACGTCACTTTCCAAACTATTCCACTTGAGACCTCTACCCACTCTACCTGAGGTATCCCAGCGAGTGAGCACGTCTCCTGTGTATCCCAGTGCTTAACAGAATAGGGAATAGCATATGGAGGTACAAAATAAAAAAAATGGGAACTATGGCTATAGTTTACTTTATAACATAAAAGGGCTAGAATACCACATACACTGATGGACATTTACATAATATAACAATTGACCTATGAGACTTATTACCAGGGGGAAAGGTAGATGTTATCAGTAACCTGGACTAGTACTCACTCTTAATTCACCGACCAGCTGACCCGAGATTCCCAATGCGTGGTCCACTACACACGCAGCTGTCCAGAGCTCCCGCTCCCCGGACCTGTCACCAACAACCTCCTTGCTCAGCTGTTCCCTGGGCTTATATCGTAGTCAAAGTACCCCCTCCCCAATGGGGTATGTACCACGTGTTACGACCTGACGCCAAGGTCTGACGCCGTCAAGAACAAAAGACCTCAGACGTGGGCGTGACTACCCGACATTTGCTAAGGCAGGTGTGACCATATAATTAGGTCTCCCTAGAGACCTCACAAGCCCATCTGAACTGCATCACACACTTCCTGACAACTCTATGGCCGAAGAAATACTTCCTAACATCCCTCTGACTCATCGGAGTCTTCAACTTCCAGTTATGACCCCTTGTTGCTGTGTCACATCTCTGGAACATCCTGTCTGCCCATCATGTCAATTCCTCTCAGTATTTTATATGTTGTTAACATGTCCCCCATATCCCTTCTGTCCTAGTATAGTCAGGACGAGTTAACCTAACTTCTCCTCGTAGGACATAGGCCTTAATTCCGGGGCTAGTCTTGTTGCACACCTTTGCACTTTCTCTAATTACTTGATGTGAGTGACCAGGTGTGCATTCCATACTGGTGCTGTGTACTCCAATATGGTCCTGATGTACACGGTGTACAGAGTCTTGAACAATTCCTTACTAAGGTGTCGAAAAGTTATTCTTAAGTTTGCCAGGGAGATCGATTGGGAAAACCTGGAGCCTCATGGGGGCCCCGAAACATGGAGAGCCAAGATGATGGATGTGGTACTGGAAAACCTCATGCATCAACACATCAGGGACACTACCAGAGAGAGAGGGGAGGATGAACCAGCAAGACTGGACCTTGTGTTCACCCTGAGTAGCTCAGACATTGATGACATCACATATGAGAGGCCCCTCGGAGCTAGTGACCATGTAGTCCTGAGTTTTGATTACATAGTAGTTACAGGTGGAGAGAGTAACAGGAGTCGAACAGGAAAAGCCAAACTTTAAAAGGGGGGACTACACAGGTATGAGGAACTTCCTGCGGGAGGTGCAGTGGGACAGAGAAATGGTAGGAAAGTCAGTAAATGAAATGATGGAATATGTAACAACAAAATGCAAGGAGGCAGAGGAAAGGTTTGTTCCCAAGGGCAACAGAAACATTGGGAAGAACAAATAGAGTCCTTGGTTTACCCGAAGGTGCAGGGAGGCAAAAACTAAGTGCATTAGAGAATGGAAGAGGTGTAGAAGGCAAAGGACCCAGGAAAACAAGGAGAACAGTCGAAGAGCCAGAAACGAATATGCACAGTATGAAAACGACATAGCATCGAAAGCAAAGTCTGACCCGAAACTGCTGTTTAGCCACATTAGGAGAAAGACGATAGTCAAAATCCAGGTGGTCAGGCTGAGGAAAGAAGGTGGGGAACTCACAAGAAACGATCAAGAGGTATGTGAGGAGCTCAGTATGAGATTTAAGGAAGTATTCACAGTGGAGACAGGAAGGACTTCGGGAAGACAGGACAGAGGGGGACACCAACAGGGAACAGACCAACAAGTGCTGGATGATATGCACACAACTGAGGAGGTGAAGCTGCTAAGTGACCTTGATACCTCAAAGGTAATGGGACCGGACATCTCCCCGTGGGTCCTCAGGGAGGGAGCAGATATACTGTGTGTGCCATTAACCACAATCTTCAACACATCCCTTGAAACTGGGCAACTACCTGAGGTATGGAAGACCGCAAATGTAGTTCCCACTTTTAAAAAAGGAGACAGAAAAGAGACACTAAATTACAGACCAGTGTCACTGACGTGTATAGTATGCAAAGTCATGGAGAAGATTATTAGGAGGAGAGTGATGGAGCACCTGGAATGGAACAAGATTATAAACGATAACCAGCACGGATTCAAACCTTCTGGAGTTTTACGACAAAGTTACAGAACGTAAAACACAAGACAGGGGTGGGTTGATTGCATTTTCTTGGACTGCAAGGCCTTCGATACAGTTCCTCACAAGCGACTAGTGCAGAAACTAGAGGATCAGGCACGTATAACAGGAAGGACACTGCAATGGATCAGAGAAAACCTGACAGGGAGGCAACAACGAGTCATGGTACGGGATGAGGTATCACAGTGGGCACCTTTGACGAGCGGGGTCCCACAGGGGTCAGTCCTAGGACCAGTGCTATTTTTGGTATATGTGAATGACATGATGGAAGGGATAGACTCAGAGGTGTCCCTGTTTGCAGATGATGTGAAGTTAATGAGGAGAATTAAATCAGATGAGGATCAGGCAGAACTTCAAAGAGACCTGGACAGGCTGGACACGTGGTCCAGCAACTGGCTTCTTGAATTCAACCCTGCCAAATGCAAAGTCATGAAGATCTGAGAAGGGCAAAGAAGACCGCAGACAGAGTATAGACTAGGTAGCCAAAGACTGCAAACCTCGCTCAAGGAGAAAGATCTTGGAGTGACCATAACACCGAGCATGTCTCCGGAGGCACACATCAACCAGATAGCTGCTGCAGCATATGGGCGCCTGGCAAACCTGAGAATAGCATTCTGATCCCTTACTAAGGAATCGTTCAAGACATTGTACACTGTGTGCATCAGGCCCATACTGGAGTATGCAGCACCAGTTTGGAACCTACACCTGGTCAAGCACGTCAAGAAATTAGAGAAAGTGCAAAGGTTTGCAACAAGGCTAGTTCCGGAGCTCAGGGGTATGCCCTACAAAGAAAGGTTAAGGGACACCGGACTGACGACATTGGAGGACAGGAGGGTCAGGGGAGACATGATAACGACATACAAAATACTGCGTGGAATAGATAAGGTAGACGGACAGGTTGTTCCAGAGAGGGGACACAGAAACAAGGGGATCACAATTGGATGCTGAAGACTCAGACGAGTCAGAGGGATGTTAGGAAGTATTTCTTCAGTCATAGTCGTCAGGAAATGGAATAGCCTAGCAAGTGATGTAGTGGAGGCAGGAACCAAAGCTTGGAAAGCAGAGAGAGAGGACCTAGTAGCGATCAGTGAAGAGGCAGGGCCAGGAGCCGAGTCTCGACCCCTGCAACCACAATTAGGTGAGCAGTTATTTGGTTGATGTGCTCAGTATTATACTCACCCCAAGATCCTTTTCCTTGGGTGAAGCTTAGTCTTTGGCCCCCTAGCCTGTACTGTCTGCGGTCTTTAATCTTCCCCAATCTTCATGACTTTGCACTTGGTGAAGTTAAACTCAAAAGAGCCAGTTGCTGGACCAGGCTTGAAGCCTGTCCAGATCTCCTTGTAGTCCTACCTGATCCTTATCAGATTGAATTCCTCGCATTAGCTTCACAATGCCTGCAAACAAGGACACCTCTGAATCTATCCCTTCTATCATGTCATTCGCATACATCATAAATAGCACCAGCCCTAGGACTGACCCCAGTGGTACCCCACTCGCCACAGGTGCCTATTCTGACACCTCGTTGTGTACCTCGACTCGTTGTTTCCTTTGTCAGGTATTCTCTGATCCATTGCAGTGCCTATCCTGTTATTTCTCCCTCCTCCTCTAGCTTTTGCACCAAACTCTTGTGTAGAACTGTGTTGAAAGCCTTCTTACAGTCTAAGAAAAATGCAATGTCTTCCTCTCTCTCTCTCTTCCTCTCTTTTTCTTACTTCCATCACGTTCTCGTAATGCTCCAGTAGGTCTGTAACAGGATTTTCCTTCCCTAAAACAGTGATGGTTATCATTCATAAACTCGTTCCTTTCTAGGTGCTCCACCACTCTTTCGCTGCTATGTCATTTTCGCGTTGTCGTTGGGCCTCCCTTCTTACCATTGTATATTCATTTCTGGCTCTACGACTGCTCTCCTTATTCTCCTGGGTCCTTTGCCTTCTATACTTCTTCCATTCTCTAGCACATTTGGTTTTGGCCTCTCTACACCTTTGGGTGAACCAAAGGCTCAACCTGACTCTCATTATTTCTGTTACCCTTGGGTACAAACCTCTGCTCAGCTTCCTTGCATATTGTTGTCACATTCCATCATCTCCTTTACTGACTTCCCTGCCAGTTCTCTGTTCCACTGAACCCCATGCAAGAAAGTCTTCATGCCTGTATAGTCCCCTCTCTTGTAGTTTGGCTTCATTCGTCCTGCCCTTCCTGCTTCCCTCTCCAATTAATACTTAACGATACATTTAATTTAAAATTCGCTTATTTGTTTTACTGCGATAGGATAAATAAAACTATCATTTGGTACCAGAGATTCACCATTACAGTTGTTGTACCGGATGGGTGTAAGGGACCTGTTTGATGAATCTAAGGCCAACCTGACAGATTTCACAAGGTCTGCGACACTCTTCGTAGACACAATCATCCACCAAGCTACTGTAGAGGTCACTGAGGAAGGCACCGTAGCTGCCGCTGCCACAGGTACGTCGTGAACGCTGTATATCATGCTGAGAACTACATATGTCAAAATGTTCTTGTCTCTTTTTAGCAGAGGTCCAGAACGTTGTGCTTATTATGTACATTTGAAAACTTTTATTTTTTCCCTACAGTGTGGATGTGTGCTTGGCTGAATAAATTTAAGATTGTCACATGTTGAATTTAATCTCCAGGTTTGAACCGTTAATATTTGCCAGTTAAGTCAGTCACAATACATCCATAACTTAGGCAAAATTGCACTAGTTTACCAGGTATCCCATGATACCCTTTTTTTTTTTTTATAACTAATTCAATTTCAATGATATTTTATAACTGTCGACTAGTAATTTAAAATTCTTGTATAGGTTCATAAACAAGACACAAATGCAGTACAGTCGACCCTTGACTAACTGCGGCATTAAGTAACAGCAATTTCGTCTAACGGCACTTTTTGCCGTAGAAAAAATGCCTTAACCAATGACGTTTGTCCGGAACATGTCGATGTGCCTGGAGCGTGGCCTGAGTGGGCCTAACCACTCCAAGAGTCAGTGTGCCATTGTTTACAAGCTGCTGCAGTCGGTTTCCACGTGTGCCTCCCATATATTTTGGATAATTCCACTATTTCTAGTGCTTGTAACCACTAAATAAGCCACCATGGGTCGCAAGAAAGCTTCTAGTGCCAAGCCTGTGTTAAAAAGGGGTGAGAATTATGATGGAAATGAAGTTCTTCTGGAAGGGGATTCTCCTTCCAAGTAATAGACAATTCTGAATTTCTCCTGCTGCTGGCACATCATTCAACAACTCCACAGTAAAGGTAAGTGGCATTTAATTATTGTTTATTTTGTATGTCCCATTCCTTTCCATATAAGGAAATGTATATTTCATGTATAAAATTTTTTTTTCAGACTTTGGGGTGTCAGGAACGGATTAATTCTATTTCCATTATTTCTTATGGGGAAAATTAACTCGACCAACGGCAATTTCGACCAACGGCAAGCCCTCTGGAATGGATTAATGCCGTTGGTTGAGGGTCCACTGTATAATGCGATTCTTTATTGACTTCGTTTTGCCCCCACACAATAGGCAAGTCAAACAGATGTACCTAAACAGAGTGTGTATGAGTATATCTCCATAGGTTCATAAAGTGAAGCTGTGTAGTGAATTTGGGCAGTTTAGCCCAGACTGCTGCTGCTTTGTAAGTCTGTTTCTTTGAGCTCAAATGAAAAGTTCTTAACACTGGGCACAGTTTTAGTCACCATATTACAGAATGGATATGAATGCACTGAAAAACATACAAAGGGGGGATGACGAAGTTGATCCCATGTATCAGAAATCTTCCCTATGAGGATAGACTGAGGGCTCTGAATCTGCACTCTGGAAAAATGTAGAATTAGGGGAGGATATGATTGATGTGTATAAATGGAAAACTGGAATAAATAAGGGAATGTAAAGAGGGTGCTAAAAATATCTAGCCAAGACAGGACTCTCAGCAATGGTTTTAAGTTGGAAAAATTCAGATTCGGGAAGGATATAGGAAAGCACTGGTTTGGTAATAGTTGTGGATAAGTGGAACAAACTCCCAAGTTTGAGGAAGTGTAAGGTAGTGTAGAGTGAAAAACCAACGTCAAAGACCTGGGAGTGATCATGTCGGAGGATCTCGCCTTCAAGGACATAACATTGTATCAATCGCATCTGCTAGAAAAATGACAAGATGGATAATGAGAACCTTCAAAACTAGGGATGCCAAGCCCATGATGACACTCTTCAGGTCGCTTGTTCTATCTAGGCTGGAATATTACTGCACACTAGCAGCACCTTTCAAGGCAGGCGAAATTGCTGACCTAGAATATGTACAGAGAACCTTCATGCTACGCATAACGGAGATAAAACGCCTCAATTACTGGGAGCACTTGAAGTTCCTGAACCTGTACTCCCTGGAACACAGGCAGGAGAGATGCACGATTATATACACCTGGAAAATCCTAGAGGGACTAGTACCGAACTTGCACACGAAAATCACTCGCTACGAAAGCAAAAGACTTGGCAGACGATGCAACATCCCCCCAATGAAAAGCAGGGATGTCACTAGCATGTTAAGAGACCATACAATAAGTGTCAGGGGCCCCGAGACTGTTCAACTGCCTCCCAGCATACATAAGGGGGATTACCAACAGACCCCTGGCAGTCTTCAAGCTGGCACTGGACAAGCACCTAAAGTCGGTTCCTGACCAGCCGGGCTGTGGCTCATACGTTGGTTTGCGTGCAGCCAGCAGCAACAGCCTGGTTGATCAGGCTCTGATCTACCAGGAGGCCTGGTCACAGACTGGGCCGCAGGGGCGTTGACCCCCGGAACTCTCTCCAGGTAAACTCCAGGTAAGTTGGATTGCGTGCAGCCAGCAGTAACAGCCTGGTTGATCAGGCTCTGACCCACCATGAGGCCTGGTCACAGACTGGGCCGCGGGGGCATTGACCCCCGGAACTCTCTCCAGGTAAACTACAGGTATAATTTAAAGACCAAAAGAAATGAGATGATTATCTGGTGTATAGCTGTATGATCCTAGTAGGTTTAGCGTTTCCTTTTCATTATTATAATTTATGGTGTATAAAAATTGGAGAAAAGTTCATTTTTAGTATTTCTTAATATAGTTTCTTGGAGCTGTGTGTAGACCTGGTGTATATGGAGGGAGGGGAAGGGAGCAGTGAGGGGCAAGAGAATATTCTAGCATATATTGTAATAGTTTGCATTTTGTTCCCTCTGTGTATTGTAGTTCCTAATTAGTCTTATGTGGGAAGCTATCAGAAGCTGATGAGCGTGTAGCTCCCATGTACTGGATGTGATGTGTAGCTCCCATGTACTCTAAGTGATGGGTGATGTATGAAGACTACCATATACCTCTCTGAAACGTCTCCTTTTTCTCCTTTATTTAATATGACAATACATTGGAATGGACACTTAGGGTAAAGCTAGTTTCTGGTGGTAGTATACTAGTATATTACCATTTTTTCTAAATTTGTGAAATTTTTCATTGCTGAATATTGTATTTTCAAAAATATTGATACGTTCTCTTCATGGATGGGGAGGTGCCTTCATGCTGGAGAATGACTCATGACCCAAGGAACTGGTGCCATTCTTCCCTGCAGATCAAACCTGATATCCTCCCATTAGCTAGGTGCTGTATAACTCATACAGGTTTAGCTCTTCTGTGATTCCTTTCTTTAGTATGAGCTAGAGAGACGAAACATGGAAGCGACTTTAATTGTTAGTCATAACTAAATGCTAAACCCACTAGTCATACAGATGCTTATCTGTTACAATATAACTTGACCAGATAATAAATATAGCAGTTTATGACATTGGATCATCTCTGCGTAAAGCAAGGTTCTGATCTTGTGTAAACATGTTTTTGAAGGATGTCTTTCTTTGTTTCAGCACTGATCAACACACGATTTGGGGGACCTGAACCTATCAAGTTCATGTGTAACCGACCATTCGTCTACACAATTACGGACAAAGCTAGTGCCATCACACTCTTTGCTGGTCACGTTGTCAACTCTGCACACCTCAAGAACATTTAATGTTCCCCTCATTTTATTCACAGTAGTGATGCATACACAGCAGTGGTATAAATGCACCCATACCTCAGCTCTCTTCCTATCACTTCTCCCCATCCCACCCTTGAGATAAACTTTGGAGCTCCAGAAGATGGTATTGTATATAGAAGAGACAAATTAGGAAAACCAAATAAAGAAAAATGCAGAAAGGGCAAGTTAAAATTAATGTCTAGCTTTGAAATACTGTACTGTACATCCAACAAAATGTATATGTAATTTGTCAGTAAGTGTACTGTGGGCAAATGCAAAGAAGAGTACTTCTAATGAGGTTTACAGCAGTGTACCTTGTCAGTAAATGTATTGTCAACATGTGATACTACTTACCATTGTAAACCTGCATCGTATACTATAGCAGTTTTCAACTGTATGGATGAGCACTAAAGAATTTTAATGTCTTTCAACTTTTTACCACGATAGCACACATAGAATATCATCCTCTCCTCTCTATAGTTGGCTTGTTCTGCCATCTCTTCACACCAAGTAGCTAACAGGGATTATAGTAGAAGAAATCTAAATCTACAATCAATTTTTTCTCTCCAAAACATTATCAATGCATTTTAATAAAACAAAATTGTATACACACAATTTGGGGCAAGTTAGACACAGATATGCACTCGCACACTCATTGTCTGATTTTTTTGGGGGTTATCCTAGGTAATTTATATATAATTGTACTTGTATGTACCTGTACCTAAATAAACTTGTGCAGATCTGTATGATTTAAAAAGCTAATCTTGTTGTAAATTGTATATAAGCAAATCAGAGAGGGGGAAGGGGGGGGGGGTCATTCAAAGACATTACTAATATTATCCTGAGGCCTTATTCTTTCCTGAGACAAGAAGAGAAGCGTAAGTTACAAGAAGACCCGAGGCCATGCATGCAAGAAACTTGGTAAGCCTCTGAGTTATGATGAGTTTTATGCTCTTGAGTGAATACTGTTCCATTTCTAACCCAGATGTGTATTACATAACCTTGTACTTAAGATCAATAGTCCTGTGGTGTGAACTCAACACATACATTAGAAAGGATTTCAATATTGCTAAAATGATAAATAAAATTCTAAATTTTTACATTGTTTCAATTTCCCATTTTAGTTAAAACTTTTTTCAGTGTTCATGAATAGAGAAAAAAAACAAGGGATGAAGGAAGGTGGAGGAAGGAATTAATAAAGTAGAGAAGGCATACGTAAGGAAACCCTTCAACCCTCCTTGCAACCTTCCCTCGCCTTTTGCATTTATTAGTGAGCATATTTCTTGTTTTGTGAAATCCAGCTACTAGGGGAAAAGAAAGAATTGCTATCTGCTCTGTTCTAACATAACGTCTGTTGGTGGTGGTGATAGTCTGTCTGCCTGATAGTAACTGAATTAATTTAGGGTATCTCTAGTAACCCTCCAGTAAGACACTGGGCAACCAGCTTGCCTGGCCTCAGATGGTAAAGTATTACTGGAAATTGCTTGCACATCCAGGAGTGGCAAGTCCAGTTACAACAATTGGGGTTCTTTCCAGTTAGGGCAACACTATTATTATAATCGTGGGGAAGTGCTAGACCCGTAGGATTATACAAGGCCTGTGGGAGGATGGGGGTGGAAGGTATTTAGGCTTAATTCAAGGAACTGGAGCATAGATCCAATTCCCTAGATCAAGAGCCCCTCACCAGCATCAAGGGACCTCCCTTAAGGGGGGCACCACTATTATTAGTCAAAAGACAAGTGCACAGGTGGTTTTTACTAAGCCTTGCTCAGTCAATACTGAAGGTGGCATCCTGTGTGTGCACCAGGTAGGGTAAGAGGTTTCCAGGGAAAACACTACCCATCATAATAGTGACTTGTTTAGGGGTGGGCAAGTGATGTTTTTATTCTCAAATCTGCCTAACCCATTTTTACTTCATACTGCTGTATAGTCCTTGTGGCTTAGCGCTTCTTTTTTGATTATAATAAATTTTACTTCATACTGAATGACTGAGATGTTCTTGATGCTGGTGAAAGTCTCTTGATCCAAGGAGCTGAACCTGATTGCCTTGCCTAAATGCTCATGCATGCCAGTGGCTTTCTTTGTGCTTAACATTATTGTACTACATGTAAACTACACATTGTATATTATGCAAAGAAAAATTTTGAATTTGAATTCACATGTCCCCAGGTGCTGTATGATCCATAGGTTGAATGCTCCCTACCTGAATGTTGTTATGAGTCTTATTCTCTTGGATCCCCAGTGACTGTAACCCTCTTTATTGACCCTGCCTCCACTCATCAAAGGAGGTTCATTGATGTAGGTGCAGGGCTTTGCATCCAAGGAACTGAACCTGACCTCCCCTTTCCACAGGTGCTGTATATGACCCCTATAAGCAGTGGCGGCTCATAACGCCAGTAATACCTATACTATCGTACCACATCAAATTTCTATTTTTAATAATTTTTTATCTCATTTCAACAATTAAAAATTCACTTATGAATACATTGAAAACAATATACAACAGATTTTTCCTGTAATATATTTGTCAGTTGCAAATTATTTTAACGTAAGGTTGATGAAGTCATACATCTGGCAGTGAGCATCTGGGAGGGACTACAGCTCTGCAGCTCCTATGGACAAGCCGGCACTACCTATAGGTTTAATTCACCCCTGCCCCTGTACAAAATAATGCAATAAAACCTAGATTTAACAGGTGGAGGAAAATGTTCTGATTGTCCAGCATATCCAAATGTTTAATAGCAAAAAATGGCACTACAGTACTCTAAAAGTGAAAAAAAAAATCATAATAGATATGTACATCTCTTATGTCTGATGTTGCACCCTGGGAATTGGTCACAATGTAATATTTAGATATGCTCTGAGAAAGTGATTCTCACTTAATATTATATCACTAAGATCTTCATTAATAGCTAAAATGAAAATGTTCGCCTTTATATTATCTGTCGCTACAGTTACCATGGTACTATAAACCTTATTCAAATCCCTTACTTGCAACATCAGTGCACTTAATGCAGTTACATAACCAGGATTTTAGTGGGGAAGGGGTTTTAAGTCATAACCCCTTTAAGGAGAAATCAAAGGGGCTCCTTAAATCCTCACCTCTCCCCAGAGAGAGGCCCTCCTACACTTAAGAGAGCAAAATCTGCTGTCTTAAGTTAACTGAAAAATGATGGAATACACTGGGTGTCTTGGAAAATAAGTTTATTAAAATTGACATATTGCCCACTTTAACTAATCTATGACTATGATGAAAGTTTAGCATTTGTTTTTAATATAATAACACCTTGCTTTTAATGATGCAGTGTTATGGGGTTATAGGACCCAAAATATATTTGTAACTAGCAATTACTCATATTGGAAGTACCTAATTATATTAAACTGCTGGGGGGCACAACTGCCTTAATTCTGTCATAAGAATTGATCACTCTTATGTAGATAGGCCAGTATTTCAATATAAAATAGGTTCTGTTGTAACACACACAGTTAAAATAAGTAAAATATAGACATTATTTTATTTTAAAAGTTAAATAAGGTATAGTAATAGGAGAAAAACAAAAATTATGGTAGTTAAGGAAATGTGCATGATGTTCTGTTGTTATGGGTATAAAAGCAGGAGAGCTTAACACACTCTGCTTTTGTTGCTGTGCATCCAGACTGGGAGGAGCTACTCTGCTTCTGGGCAAAATGTGAGTTGCTCAGGAGGTAAGACTTAATGTTGTAACAATAATACCAAAGTGGCTACAGTGCGTCAAGATGCTGGATAAGCCCACCTGGGAGAAAAAGGTGATAATTGTTTTCAGATGGAACCATGTAATGTACTGGTTAGGCTCAGACTTGGGTATATATCCCTTGTTATGAATGGGAAGACTGGGCCATACTGCTTAACATGTATTTGTTGTAAATACCTACCCATGGAATATATTGCTGTTTTTGTAACAGTAGTTTAAATAGCCTATTGTCTGAGAGGATGGGTGAATAAATTTTCAGAGACTGAGGAAGACTAATCATGAATGTAAGTATTCCCCTAGACTTTATAAGGCATTAATGAGCTACCCTACACTAGAGCACATACTGAGAACTGTACCACCAAAGTAAAAAGGGAACAACATAACATGCAGTAAATGCTATCCTTATTAAGGAAGCACAAGATATTCTTATACTAATAGCAACATCAAGATAAAGAAATACAGATGTATGCTTTTGTGCAGACAGTCTGAAAGCATTTTATAGTCCCAGCTTCTTTGGTAAGTGTACTTTACATGTTATATTATATACATGCATAAACACTAAACCTGTAAGAGCCATAGTGACTGTAGAATGGGAGGTAATCAAATTTGATGAGAGGGCAGCTGCAATTTCTAGGACTGAGTCCTTCACTAGTATGAAGGCTTTTCCTTCAAAGGGTGTTGGAGTGTGAAGAGGGTAACACTTTGTAAAGGGATTCTGAGAAACCAGTTTGCCGGACTCAAATCCTGGAGGTGAGAAGTACAGTGCCTGCACTCTAAAGGAGGGGTCCTTGAGATACAGTAGGACCCCCATATTTGGTGGTCTGGTATCAGCAGTTTATCTTGGCCTGAAAATACTAAGGAGGTTGCAATTTGAAGTTTCATTTTTTTCATATTTCTTCTGATTTTATTCATTTTTTATTCTTTGAATTAAAAGTGCATAAAACATGGTCATATAAAGTGTCACTAAGATCTGGCAGAAAACAGGCACATACTGGCACTGCCAGAAGTCTTCTCAGCATCAGCAGCAGCAGTAGTAGTAGTAGTGGCAGAAGTGGAAAGTGGTGGTCGTTGTGGTGGTCTGGGTAGTGGTGGTGGTGGTCCTAATGGTGGATGATGGTGGTCGTGGTAAATTTATTATATTAAAATCACCATTTGGTATGCTGCAAAGTGAGAGGAGGTTATCATGTACAAGGAAGAGCTGAGGCACATTAGTGCTTGAGACAGTTCATATACGTCTGATACAGATATGATACACATCTAGTGCCACCTCAGCCACACATCTCTGCCCACACCAACTGTTTATTCACCCCCTCCCATTCCCCATTATCATGCCCTCACTGTACACCCAGCAACAATCCCCCCTTGCCCACAACCCCAGCCCATACCACCAAGCCCATATGGCCCCACACCTCATTCATGCATTCACTCACCATTTCCCCATACCCTCTAGCCCTCACAGCCCCAGGCCCACACCTTACCCATGTTTTCATGGCCCCCACACCCTAACATGCCATCTACACTCTTACTCATGTAGACACCGGCCACGCCTGCTCAGTCACCCATCATCCACACTACCACCCACATTGGGCCATCAACACTGCCCCCGACATGGTCACCATTACGCCACTTAATTGCTGCCAGCCTCCATCCCTACACCCCTCCAAAACTAATCATAGGTATGTAAACAGAAAAAGGCCTGTATATGGTGTTCGCTACTATCCGCAGTTTTTGGTATCTGTGGTAGGGCTTAGAACACATCCCCAACGGGTAAAGGAGTCCTATTGTATTTGCTGTTTAGAGCAACATCTAAACTGCCGTATCTGCCTGCCTCTGGCAAGACAGTAATAGTGTGAATGATGGTAAAAGTGTGTATTTTTTGAGTCGCCCTGCCTCAGTTGGAGACAGCCAGCGTGTTAAAACAAAAATTTTGTTCCATTTCCAGTAAAGAATAAAAACCGATGCATGAAGCCATACAAGGTGCTCAGTGTTTTGCATAATTTTTATTATATTACTGGTATCAGCATCTCCACTGTAAGCTTTGACTTCTCAACCCAAAGGTTTATTGAACTTTTCCATTCATAAAAAGAAAAATTTAAAATATTTTTTATTTTACAAATGTACAACATGGAGTCTGAAAGATTGTGGTGCTTATAATCATGCCTTAATCTTTACAATGTTCATTCAAGAAATGCCTAATAATTTTATAGTGCACAAGTAACTATACTGGCCAATGAAGTGCTTTTATCTTAACAAATGAAACTTTTGCAATGTGAAGAGTGCATCATGCCTGCACAACTTTTAAAAGATATTATGTGAATGATCAGTAACAGTTTACTAAGACTGCTGGGTCAAAGCAAAAATAGAAGT